GGGGGGCATCGCCTCCCTCTGCTCTGCGAAACCGGGGGGACTTAGCTTGTTTCCCACAAGCGTTCCCGTTTTTTGTTTATTTTTCTCTTAATTTTTTAAGTGAAAACGGAGTCAGGGGCTTCAATTCGGGTTTTGTTTTCATGTCCCAACAGTTGAGCCACACATGGCGGGGGGGAAGCAGCACAGAGGACCTTTCCAGGGGGTCCGCGTGAAGAACTCGGTGAAGGAGCTCCTGCTGCACTTCAGGAGCTGCAAACAGATGTCCTCGGGCTCCGCCACGGAGGAAGGCAAGGTAACCAGCATTTTTCAGCACTGACATAATTGCTTTTAATGGTTACTGAAGTTGCTAAAAAAAAAAAAAAAAAAGGCATGCGATAACGCTGGAAACGAGCTTGCCGCTTTATCTGATGTGGATGGAGTCAGTGTTTTTCCTTTTCAGCACGTAATGGAAGAACACAGCTGGGAAGAAATTAGTGAGAGGGCTTACTGTGGGAGAAGGAGGCACTGTGAAATGTTCTTACTAAGCTTTATTTTCTAAGTGGAGTTTGGATAAAGATATGTTTGTGTTATGAAACCACAGAAACTCCCTGTTAACTGGAATGAGGTCATTCATTGTACGAGCTGGGGAATCTTCTCAGAAGAGAATCGTTGGTCATGCCATTGTGCTCCTCTGTGTGGAATGCACAGTATACAGGCAGACCCCTTCAGTCTGAAAAGATAGAAACAGAAAAAAAAAAGAGAAAATTCTGGGAAGATTAAAGGAGATTTTTTTTCTTAGAATAGTCTTTCTGAGTGTGTGTTTGCGAGCTTCCTAGATAAATGTTGTCACAGGAAAATTTTTGCATAGAAAAGTTCATGGCATTGAAGAAGTAGGAAATTGGCTCGCTTATTTTATGTTTTTAAAAAAAAAAAATGTCCTCAGACCCCAGTAAGGAAAAGTGTCTTCCTCTAGATTTTCTTGAGTTTTGTGGTATTGTAACAAATAGCTTAAAGAGCCTTAAGAAAAATGGTGGTTTTCATTTAAGTTCCATAAAAGTCTTTCCATTTTCTAACCTTAATTAAAAGCAATTAAGTTAGGGTTAGACAATCATGTACTAGAATTATTCTAAGGTATATTCTATGTTTCTAGAAGCAAGTCGCTGCTGCTTTCTTCTTGGTTTTGGGTTTTTTTTTTTTCCCCCCTGAGATAACACTATACTAATGGAATAATTGGATTTTTCTCAAAAGGCACAAGGAGGATTGGTGAACTACGAGCAGTACACAGGTAAAAACCCCTTTCTTTAAATACCCTGCAATAAGATTTTAAAAGTTGATTGTAACAGTAACCTCCAAATGGATTTTAAATTCTTTTTTTTTTTTTTTTTTTTTTTTCAGCAGAGCTGAAGAGCATACTAGGTCACAGTGGCAAAAGAAAGGCTCCCGAGCTCCTTTCTGATGGACCTTCTTTCAAACGCCAAGCTAATGTTCACCCACACCTCCTGGTAAGTAACTTTTTCTGTGCCTTTATTTTTCAGTTTGCTTTGTGTAATCAGAAACTGCCAGATACAATAATATCTCTTAACTTTCTGGGGCTTGTTTTGATTTTTCTTTTTTTTTTCTGGACAGACGCCACCCCAGACACCAACTTCTATGGATAACATGGAGGAGACTCATAAAAACGACCCAAAGCATGACAGCAATTCTGATCTGCTTCAGAACATTATAAACATCAAGAACGAGTCGAGCCCTGTTTCTCTGAGCACGGTGCAGGTTAGCTGGTTGCACACTGTCTCCAGTCACAGCTCGCCCGGTGAGCAGTACCAGGACAGCTCAGGAACACAGGCTTTCTCCCCGTCCCAGAAGTACCAAGCCTTCCAAGATAACGCCTCCCAGCGTATGCTTGATCCACCACAGCATTACCAGTTCCCTCCATCCCAGAACCAGGATTTGTCGCAGAGCTATGCTGCGGATGCCTCCCTGGAGTACAGGCCGTTTGCTGCCAATGACCAGTCTCCTGGCTACCAGCAGAATACCTTTGAGAGCCACGAACTGCAGTATTGCCCATCGCAGAGCTTCTCCTCCCTCTTGAATGACTCTGAAGGCTCAGAGGGCATCTCTGCTCCCCTCCAGCCGCTGGCCAGTGCCCACCCACAGCCTGATGTCGGCCCCCATGCTCCGAACTTCAACTTGCTTTCCAATAACATCTGTGGTAGTCTGGAGCGGAGTGTCTCTTTGGCTACTTTGAATGTCTCTCTACCTGACCAAAACATCGCCAGAAGCACGACGCAGCTGGGCAAGTCGTTTTTTCAATGGCAAGTGGAGCAGGAGGAAAACAAACTGGCTAACATCTCTCAAGACCAGTTCCTTGCAAAAGACTCAGATGGCGACACGTGAGTGCTGTTTATCTTGGCGTTTCTGACGTGGAAGGTTGGGGAATGTTTGTCTGGGTTTTGGGGGACCATGGGTCTGTAATGGAAGCGGTTCATTAGCAGTGTTTGTGTCATGAGTGCAGTAGTTTCGCTAATCAAGTGAAACATGTGGTCTTGCTGATGAGCTGCGATGCACAGAGTTGCAGCACACTGAGTAGATAAGGTGTTTGTATCGTCTAATTTCAGGTACTTATCGTTAGACTTCTATCTAGTAAATGGGGCGAAAAAGATTCTAATTTAGATGCTTTAAATTGCCTTGGGAAGAAGGTACCCGTGTTCCTGTCTTAGTCACCCAGAGGAGGTCTGAAGCTGGCAGCGTAACACCCCTCCCATATGTTTGGATCTCTGTAATGACTTGGGCCCTGGTTTATACGGTGGTGTAACTCTGTTTCCCCTCTTTCCTGCAGCTTCCTTCACATTGCGGTTGCCCAGGGCCGACGAGCTCTCTCCTATGTTCTTGCAAGGAAGATGGCTGCCCTGCACATGCTGGATATTAAAGAGCACAACGGCCAGGTGAGGCTCTCAAAATCTTTGCACCTGCTTTGCGCACCTGAGTGCTTCTGCATGTCTGAACCTCGAGGAAGATCTGGTGAAATGCTTATTTAATATTAACCCTGAGATTTAGCCTGCATACTAATATTAACCTTGAGCTATTAATACTTCTCGGGATCACCTTGAGCTGGTAAAACTATGTGCTCTGCTTCATTTGTCCTGGCTTCCTGGTATTCATAATCGCTGCTTAAATAATACCAGGTAGCTAGGCTTTTTATTTGTTTTAGTTGGTCTTTCCTGTTAGAGATCAGATGACTAATAGTTTAAATTTTCTTCTCGATGTTTGCAGAGTGCTTTCCAGGTTGCTGTGGCTGCCAATCAGCATCTCATTGTGCAGGACTTGGTTAGCTTGGGGGCTCAAGTCAACACCACAGACTGCTGGGGTAGAACGCCGTTGCATGTTTGCGCTGAGAAGGGGCATGCCCAGGTCCTTCAGGTAAGAACCAGGCAGGCGTAGCTCTGCCCTGACCGTTAATGCTTATACTTCGTATTAGTTGTCTTGGGAAACTCTGAAAACACCACTCCTCCCTTTGTCGTTCTCTCTCTGTAGCCTTGTGAGTATGTCTCAGGGCTCTACAGTAATGGCTTAAAGTCAGACTGAATTTCACATTAAGGTTCTCACCAACGTTTTAGAGTAATTTGGTGGAATCCTCTACTCTACGAAAACAATAAATAAGTCTCTTCTTAATGCCATTACTTACTGCAACTTTGTTGCAGTAAGACTTCATACAAGCTTAAGGAAGCAATATGTGGTTTGGATAAGACCTAAATGCATACCTGTTCCCACTTTTGTAGGCAATCCAAAAGGGAGCCATGGGAAGCAATCAGTATGTGGACCTTGAGGCAACAAACTATGATGGTGAGTAGTTAAGAATTTATAATTTACAGAGTTACTGGATGTTACGATGTTTTATGGCTGCTGATGTGAATGTTATCCTGGGTTGAGAAGCAATAAAATGGAGTATATCTTTGCCAGGTTGAAATTTACAATTACAATTGAAATTACATTACAATTGGCATATCTGTCAGATAAAAACATGGTTAGTCTGTGCCTGTCAGGACCTCTTCCCTCTTACATGTGATTGCCATGTTTGGCACGGAGAGTGTAGGTGGTAATAGGCTATTGTTAAAAACGTGTGAGTGCCAGCAATACATTGGTGGATACAGAAGCCAGACTCCCTGACACCAGAGAGCTGTTTTAATTGAACCACTTTCCATATGATAGTTCTTTCTAAAGTACATTTTGTAAAAAAAAAAATGTCAGAAATTGATTCTTTTATCTGCTGACTAAGAGCTCACAGTAGATTGCTACTTAAGTCCTGGTGATGGACAACCCAAATCCCGAGCCATTCAAGAGCAATCACTGTTACTTACGAATGTGGAACTGTCCATGGGGACAAATGACATGGGGAGAAGCTCCTTTATCTGTCCTTCAAACCAAGCAGCCGGTCAATACTTCTGTATTGCATTTATTCATTAATGATGACTTTTTTTGAATGTTAAGGTTTGACAGCATTGCACTGTGCTGTTCTGGCCCATAATGCTGTGCTGCACGAACTGCAAAACAGTCAGCCGCCTCACTCCCCTGAGGTCCAGGAGCTTCTGCTGAGAAACAAGAGCTTGGTAGAAACCATCAAGACTCTAATACAAATGGGAGCCTCTGTTGAAGCAAAAGTAAGTAGAGTGGCTTTGTCTGAAGTGTCAGATAGAGAGAAAATGTGGAGGCAGAACATGTCCCTTTATCCCATGCCACATCTCAGCTTTATTACAAAGGAAGTAGACTAATTTGAAAGCTTCCCTACATCTTAATTTACCCAAGTGGAATGAGAATGTTGCATTTATTCAGAACAAGGTATTATCAATGCAAATGAAGCGTAGGGAAATAATTTCTGGATTAAGAATGATGCTACGCTGGCTGCAGCTGGTTGTGTCTTAAAAGTAAGAATATGTTTGGAGCACTCTGAGGTATCCGTAGTAATAGGGTGCTGATGATACCTTGTTTTTGAACTGCAAATGTTAATTAAAAACTGCTTCCCTGTCCAGTGTAGGTCTGTGCTGGGTCAGATCATTACTTGGTATAAATTTGGTATTTTGGCTATGTAAGCTTACTGCCAAATGAGATCTGGTCCATTGATCATTAGATAGTTGTATTAAAATATATATTCAGATTGACTTTCAGTGAATTGTAGTGCAAATATGTTTGTTGAACACTCTGCAGTTACTCTGCTTTCCGTTTTATTTGCATGTTCACCCTGGATAGGTGAAGTACTTTCAGGGAAGACTAACAGTTTCTTTTTTGATAGGATCGTAAAAGTGGTCGCTCAGCTTTACATTTGGCAGCAGAAGAAGCGAACCTGGAGCTCATTCGTCTCTTTTTGGAGCTGCCCAACTGCCTCTCTTTTGTTAATGCAAAGGTATGAGGATTTTTCTGGAATGCAGATAAAATCCGGCGTGTGTGGCACTGTGTGTGTCCTGAGACTCATGCTCCTGCCTTTCTTTCATGGAGTCGCTTTGTCTTCTCCAGGCTTACAATGGTAACACAGCACTCCACGTGGCTGCCAGCCTGCAGTATCGGGTGAGTCAGTTGGATGCTGTGCGCCTGCTAATGCGAAAGGGAGCTGATCCAAGTGCCAGAAACTTGGAGAACGAGCAGCCAGTTCATCTGGTTCCTGATGGCCTTGTAGGAGAACAGGTAAAAAAAAAACCAACCCTCTCCTTTGCTCCCATCTGTCCCCATCTACACAAAAGCCTTATTCCTCTCCAGAAGTTTCTTTTGAGTTTTGAGTTGCGGCTTTGAAGGAAAAGATTTAGCAAATGCCATTTTATTCAGGGATCTTCGGTTTTAATGTCGGGATGAGGCAGAATATTCAAAGACCTGAAATCATAGGTTTCACATGTAGCTTCTATTTTTTGCATCTCAAAAGCTTTTTCCTGTCAAGCTAGGTTTTTTCTTTGTAACCTTGCAACATACTGGAGGTAATATCCCTTCTCTTGTTGGTCTCAGTATGGCCTGAGATCATGCTTTTGTTGCTCTTGTCATAATTAGTAATGGCGCCTCTTAGGCCTGAATAACAGATGAAGAAAATCCCTTTTTCCTAGGCGCTATACAAATACATGATGAAAAAGGAGACTCTTGACCTAAGAAGCTAATAACTTAAGCAACTGAGTAATTCTGTTGCCTTTCATTGGTTCAAATGCTGTAAAATTGGATCCATTCTGGTGTAACTGAACTCAGAACCTAGGCTCAGATGAATGAGGAATGCAGAACTGGGTCTAGGTTTTTTTTTTTTTCAGATTGTGATTCACTTTAGAATGATGAATACTAATGTTTTGTCTTTTTCTCTTCTCCAGATAAGACGTATCCTAAAAGGGAAGGCGATTCAGCAGAGAGTGTCGCCATTTTAAGCTCCATGTTTCTCGGAGTTCAGCAACTCACACTCACTGTCAGTCAGGCAGTCCTAATGTATCTGTAAATAGACCATTTGCCTGGTGTGGGCAAATGTTAGTTGTTTCTATGAAACAAAAGTATTTTGTTCACTATCATATAGTGGGTTACATAAGAGTTAAAAAAAAAAAACAAACACAAAACCCAACAATCAAATTCCTCTGAGCAAACGGGAATGTTTCATTCCCAAGTATGTGGAACACTTGCCTGGATACCTGGATTTCATAGCTACAGCAAGACTGATTTTATTTAAGCAGCCATACAGATAACTTCTGGACAAGGACAATTCTACAGGAAATCTTTATTTAGAGAGGGCTGATACATGTCAACATTGCAGAGTTGTTTTTTTGTGTTTTTAATAACACTTAAATATTAAGTGAAGAGAAATAAAATATTTTTGAAGTTGAACATTTATTTAGGTAACTTTGTAACTTTCTTCCAGTATCTCATACAGGATTTTATATAGTCACTGGCATTATTGTACAGCTGTATAGTTCTAAGAATCTATTGATCGCTTGGGGAATGAACTAAAACAAGTTCCTTGATCTTGAACTTGCAAATTGCATATAGAGTTTTAATACTATACTGGTACAAATCAGGTAAATTTTATTGTTTTGAAAGACTGAAGACCGAAAGTGCAGTTAAGATAGATTGTCCCTAGCGCTGATCTGTGCATACTTTTGGAGTTGTTAATAAAACATGAAAAGCCATGCTTCTTCAGGGGACTGTATCAGTTTTTCTCGTACCCAGTAGAGGTTTTTCTTTTGATGGGACAATAGATTGAGGGAGAAGGATCATGACTTTTATAGTGTATATAACTTTGTTGTACTTTAAGGAATATGATCCTGATTCAGTGAAAGTATTTAGCGTGTACTTAACTGTTGATGTGTGCTGAAATCTCTCCATGTTAATTATAATACTTCAATATGTGTAAGCCCCACTAGTGTCAGCAGGACTTAAGCACATGCATAAGTAGTTTGCTGAATTGGGCTCTAGTTAATTCTAGAGACTTCGTGTTTTTCACCTCCTAAGCAGAGTTAGTCCATTTATGGTTTTACCTTATAGGTATAGTGGCTAGCCAAGCAATATTTGAAGTCAACATTTTTCTATTTTTTAATAATTATGGGTATTAATGCAAAGTGTATACTAATGATGCTGTATACTTGTGTTCTGTTGGAGAAAACTTCCTCCTCCTGTCACTTCCTGAACGATCCATTCTGGGCTGTAATCCAGTAATATGTTCTCCATTTGGTCTTTGCTTTTGAACTGTTTTTGCATCACACGCAATTCTCTGCCTTAACTGTTTAGTTAGTCTGTGCTGTTTTGACAAAGTATGTCTTGTAGACAAGCTAAGTGAAAAAATCTGATATGCGGAGGCGTAGTTGCGATGTATTTCTTGAAGGGTCTCATGTAACTTGTGTTTGAATAAACATGCAAATTAAATTTTGGTGGTTACTGTCTGTGATACAAATAACGATGAAATCAAGCTTGAGATAAAACTGATTTAGCACGGTAATACTGTGAGAGGGGTGAAGGTCCATTTGTTAAGGATGAAGTGAAGTCTTTCCATCCTGCTCCTTATGCTTTCTCTTGTTTGATGCTGGTTTTGAAGCTGGTGCTTGGGTGTTTCGGGTCATGCACCACGCAGTTGTATTGCCTCTGTATTTAGTAGATGTGCCCCAAATAGAGTTAATAGTCACCAGGTTGTCCAAATTGCAGGTTGTTACCTGAACACTTGTCCCTGTATACTTGAAAGAGTGATAGCAGTTCTGACAACGTCATGTTTTCCCCATGACTTCCTTGCCTTGGTCCTCAATTCTTGCAGCTCAAGCAGTCACCTTAGCACAGGTGAAAGTCTGAATGAGCACATGGGGAAAGATTCCCCTTGCTTCACAAATAAAAAGATGGGTTCTGAGATGGCTGTGCCCTTTCAGGAGGAAGAACTGTCATCGCAGACTGTCCTTGATGAGCACTGAGCTGGTGAGAGGGGAACAGTCAAGAAAAGCAGATGAAGCATTGGGATCTGTAGGAAAGGAACTGAAGAAAAACAAGAGTGCTTCTATGCTATCGTATTAACCGGTTGTCCACCCCTGCCGTACTGCCGTGTGCGGTGAGGGTGTCCCCTCAGATTAAAGTGTGTTAGCATTGGAAGAGGCCCAGAGGTGTGGAGGAGCTTCCCTGCAGGGAGCAACAGAGCAGACAAGGGCTCTTCAGCTGCAAAAGCAATGGCTGACAGCAGGTATGACAGGCCTGCAGTCATGTTAGGCCAGAGAAACTGGATCGGGATGAACTGCTCACTGTCCCTTCCAGCATGACAGCTGGAGGCTATTAATGAAGGTACCAAGTACACAACTGACAACAGGATACGATTCCTTCAGGTAGTTGAAGAACATGGTAGAAACAAGACATTTGTTGATGCGGGGGTGTATACTTAGAAGAAGGACCTTTTTGTGGAGAGTTACTAAAGGGATGAACCGTGTGAGGCAGTCCTCGCTGCGTTGAAGGGTGAAGTACTGCGCTGCAGGCTTGCCCTGCTCTCGGCTCTTCCCTGGGGACTTGCTTCCCTGGGGACACTTGCAGACCCGATACCAGACTAGATTATACCCTTTACCCAAACCATTGCAGTTAGGCTTTTAGTGGTTCATGGGTTCAGTCTGGCTCCACTGATACTGGTTGCACCTTTCATGAGAAGAAAACATAGGAAAATCATCTTGCAGCCAGCTGCTTCAGGGGAGTGCTCACAGATCCTTTGCTCTGCTCCTGCTCTGTGCAAAAACTTGTCCCTGGAAGTCTCAAAAATGGGTTTTGGTGCTGAGGTAAGGTGATGAAGAGAAGAGGCTGTAAGTTGTTTAGCAGGTAAGAGTGGGAAATGATGATGGAGACTGAAAACGGAATTGAATTTCTAGTTAGGGTATGCAAAGAGGAAATGGCACCTCTTTATGTGAACAGCTAATTGGGCCTAGATTGTATTGAAGATGCTGTCATCTGCACCTCTTACTGCAAGTGACCCTGCCTTAGGTCTCTTTTTTTTTTTTTTTTTTTAAATGAGGAGCCTGATAGCACTGTTTCCACTTCATTTCCATTTTCTTTATAAGAGGTGATTACACAGGAAAAAGAATTGCTGATGAGATATTCTGGCCTTCAGATCAGCCCGATCTGACTGCCTGGCACTCCTTTCTTGGGCGGTGTTGACTGAGTCACCTCACAAAGGGATAAAGAACCGAGGGCTTCTAAGGGTGGCAGAGCATAGGCGTGCGTTCAGTCAATGTAGGTGCTGCTGGTGAGAGGCATTTAGCAAGCGGTGCAGTGCTTTCAGCGGCACTCATGCCCTTCTGGAAGGGGCACTCCTGGCACTCCAAGTTAGAAAACTCCTGAGGGGAGACTGAAGTGTTTGAAGTTAATTTAATCTGCCTAGAGCTTGATTTCATTGTCTCAAGAGCTCAGCAGGCAATTTCAGAAGAAAGCTTCCCTACTCTAACTGACTCATTTTTCTCTCCTATGATATTGGGAAGTTCTGGCATATCTGACATGATATAACTAGTTATTAGAAACAATCCCTTTTTACTGAAGGACAAGTGGCACTAAATATTTAGCAGGCTAATAGTGTTTAACCCGAAAACTTATGGTGTTGGGAAAGTGCTGAACAGCTGTTATTGATGCGGCTGCAGGCGCACCATTTATTTCTCTGGTTGGAGTAGAGGCAGAAGAGACTCTGGCTTAGGTCCGAGTAGGGATATTAAGACACATGGAGCTTTGTTCCCAGGATGTTTCTGATTTGTTTGTCTAAGTAAGCCAAACCTCAGGAAAGGGTTGCTTTTTGATTTTTGTGGGCTACTTCTCTGGCTGGAGTTGTAGAAGGTGGCAATCCACGATTTACAAGAAATGTGTTCTGCTTCTGGGGATGGAAGAAGTACATTTCCCACATTTATTGCTCATTTTATATTTTTATCAGAAAAAGAAAACATATCCAGGAAGTGCATTCTTAGAGAGGTTGGGTGTGGTAGAAGCGACTTCAAAGATACGACATGAACTGCTTGTTCTTCTCGCCTGACAGTTCGCTTATCTGGTTGCCTTTCTTTTAAAAATATATATGCTCTCCTTGTAGGGGAAGAGCTGAGGATGATTAAAGTGCAGTGAACATGGGAAGCTAAAGAACAGGCTCCTGCAATTAAGCATCTGACAAAAATTGATCTGGTCTTTCAGTGCATTGAAAACAAATTCTTCTATTGTTATCTGTTACCTTTTTTGAGTGTTTGGTGGTGGTCTTGGCCTGAGATACTGATGGAAAATCCATACAACTGACTCCTCATCAAGCTGGTTAAGTGTCGTCAAGCTCCAATACTGCTACCTTTCACTTTTCATGATTAGGACAAGGACCAGCATTGCTGGTGCAGACACTGGCCTGTGCCTGGTTTTAGAAAGGCAAGCAGCACCCGCAGAAGTCAGGACACCTTTCAAGCAGCACCCCACCTCCCTTCCCCACTGCCCCCAGGGCTGCAGTGAGGGCTCGCCTGGCAGTGTTGTGTTATTTTGAGAGGAAGCCTCTCTTAGCATCTTTGAATTTCTTCTAGAAGATGAAATACTAATTTGAGAGGAGAAAGGTTTAGTTTGCTCAAGGGATGGACTGCTGATATGGCAGCTCTGTTTCCCGGCAAAATTTCCCGAGTGTTGCTGGCTAATGGACAAGTCTTACAGTATTTCTTTAGATCCGATCGCCATTAGCAAAAAACTCAAGGCAGCACTAATGAAATTGGGAACTACACTAGTGCGGAGGTTGTCTCTTTTCAAATAGTTGGATTTGGGGGTTGGTTTCTCCTTCAAGCGCCTATCTTGGTCTTGCTGGAGAAAGGTAATATATCTTGGGCTGTGTTTGTTTAGTGTGTATTTATTTTCAGCTCTTGTGATTAAGAGATTGACTCAATAAGTCTTTCTTTCACCTGGTAAACCTTACTCTTAGCTCTGAAAACTCGATCTAGGCTGTTTTGAGAAAGCGGTTGCTACACTAACCAACCTATACTTCACACGTGGTTTTCCTTTTAGTTTCTGGTGAAATTTCTCCTTTCCCCTTTGCTAGTCAGAGAGCCTGAGGGAAAGATGACTAAGGTCCTTAGATTTAGGAGGGGGAGCAGACAATTGCAAGAAG